CTGATGGTCCGCTCACCATGATTTGGTTTACTGTGTTTTTAAACTTCAAAAATTTTAATCATGTTCTTCCTTTACATTAATATTTTTTTTAATTTTTTTTATTTCATCTAATCTGTTTTAAAGTTTGCAATCATGTCTTCATTCAAATCAAGTCTGTGGCTTCAGAGTCTTCAGATTATGTCCTGAATCAGGTTTTATTTTGTTATACATCCATTMCCYTCATTTCAGCGACCGTAGGTCAGATCGTAGGGTCGTAAAGGAACTAAAGACAGGGGCACGAGCCGGGTTAGGACAAGAAAAGTTAAATGCATTGGCCAACACTGTCCTGGTCCTCCATCCCCCACCAAGTGACCCCAAGTCTGCAGAAGGAAGGTCCGTTTAAACTTGGAGACTTCGAGAATGTGAGTTGAAATTTAGACACAAGTTAATTTTAATACATCCACTGATTGGTTGACCTTAGGCGCTGTAATCTGGGTTAGGGTTTTTTTTTCCAGCATTTGGCCCAGTGAGTGCAGCTGATAGCAGGCTGGCTCCAGCTGCTCCATTTTCTGTTGGAAGAGCTGATTGCTAATTGGCTCCAGCTGCGGCCCGTCAGTTTAGGTTCTCAGCGAGCTGGGCTGATTGCTGATTGCCTGCACCTGTTGCCAGCCAGCTTCTGCCTCTATATATATCGGTTCTTACTCCCAGCAGAATCACTCTGGGGACAGGCTGCGAGAAGGTAAGTGTGTTAAGAAACTTGACCTGGGTCTTGTGTCTGATTCTTACTGATTTGTTTCTCCCGTTTTAATGTGTTTGTGCATATGCCACATGCGGCAGCTGCTCATTGTCCGCTCTGCGTCGGACGGTTTAGAGCCATGTCGAGCCACCTCAGGCGGGCACACGGTGTGAAGAACCTCCACGAAAGGAAGCTGCTTTCAAACTTAGCCTTCAGGAGAGTGAACGTGAGGGACCACGCCTGCCCCGTCGACGGCTGCAGCTACAAGAAGGGACGGCTGGACAGACACATCCTGCGGGGCCATGTGGAGCTGACCGAGGAGGACAGGCGGGCTCGGCTGCGTCTGGTGAGGCGACAATGCACTCTTCACATGATTAGGCAGCTCGGGTTAAAACAAGCCAGCCCGCCGTTGGTCTCGGACATCCACGTGGAGGAGCCCGGTGGGGAAAGGCAGGCGGCCATTTTGGTGCCGCCCGGCGGGGAAAGGCAGGCCGTCCTCCCGGTGCCGCCCGCCCTCCCGGTGCCGCCCAGCGGGGAAAGGCAGGCCGCCCTCCCGGTGCCGCCCAGCGGGGAAAGGCAGAGCGCCCTCCCGGTGCCGCCCGCCCTCCCGGTGCCGCCCGGCGGGGAAAGGCAGGCCGCCCTCTCCAGCGTGGAAGGCGAGGACCAGGGAGACGAAGGCAACCCAGGCACGACCACACCCCAGGACGGACCGCTCCTTTCCCAGCAGCTGCTTCCCTTGCCAGTACCGGTGGCCTGCTTTCTGCGGGGCTTCAGGAGGTTTCACATGGGCGGACGTCCGAACAACAAACTACCAGAATGCGGTGTCCAAAGCCAACAGGGTCCACGTCTTCCTGGGTTACATGTCCGAGGGTGGCCGGCAAAAGGAGAACTGGCTGTTCCTGGACGATGTTGAGCGCAGTCAGTGGTGGCCCGCGGAGCTGGCCAAAGCCAACAAAGCCGTCACCACGGTCAACACGTACCTGAAAAACGTCCACCAGTTCATGAAGTACTTCATGGAAACCCCGCCGGAGCCCTGCGGTCTGACGAGGAGCCAGCAGGCTGGTGTGGCCCGAGCCCTGAAGAGCTGCCTCCGGGACCTGGGCAGGGAAGTGGTCGTGCACCAGATCTCCGTGAAGGAAGCCAAAGTCTCCAGGGCCATAACGCAGCAACACCTCACCGCCTGCAAGCAGCTGGCTGCCCGCAGGATACCAGAGTTGCTGGGTAAGTGGACGACATCCAGGGTTCGCTGCAGCCATGTCGCTGTTTTTTTAACCCGTATTTCTCCATCCCCACAGACATGCTGGAGGACGAAGACCTCCCACCCGTGAGGCACCTGTTTTACGGTTACGCGGCCGCCTTCGTGTCGTCCATCTACGGACACAGGACCGGCGTGATCGCCAACATGAGGGTGGAAGAGCTCGAGGTGGCGAGAAGCGCATTTCCGGAGGGAAGCCACGGCGTCGTCATCAACATGAGCGTGACCACGTCCTGGATGCCGGTGTGTGTGTCACTGGGCCGTTTTTACTAACTCTTGTCTGTTCTGCCAGGTCAGGGAGCACAAGATGAACCGGGCGTTCGGGATGGCCCAGATCTACCTGACCCGGGACGAGTTCGTCTGGCTGGAGCGGTGGATGCGTCTCCGAGCCCCACTGGAGCCCAGCGACGACCGCGTCTTCACCACGGGGACCCCGGCCAACGGGAAGACCCTCCTGAAGTTCCTCCGGCTGGCGTGGGGAGAGATGGGCTTGCCCAGACGCCCGACCTTCACCGACATCAGGACCTCGGTCGCCACTCACGCCAGGAACTGCCACAGTCCTGAGGTCCGGCACAAACTCTCGCACTTCATGTGCCACGACACCTGCACGGCCGACCGGTTCTACGCCCTGCACCTCTCCCGAGACCAGTCCAAAGACATGCGGGAGCTTTTCGAAGCAGCCTGCAGGCCCCACCCGTGTGAACCACCGGCATCAAATTAAAAATAAAGTTGTTTAAATTTGCATTCTGTTTAAAGTCTTTCATTTCATGTAAAAATGTGTGTAATTTTG